GCTGCCATCAAATCTGCTAAGTTGTAGTTTGATTCGCCACTTCTCGTTTCCATCTTTTTTTTCTGTCCCACTCTCTGACACCAAATAGTTATGTATCTGCTTGTTTGTTTGTTTCCGGTAGAAATTTTCCGAGGATCTTCAGTGATACAAGTTCTTTCTTGATTAACTCAGTTTATTCTTCCTTGATACAAACTTTTAGTACACCGTAGTTCCACAATCAGTACGTTTCTCGTCACTTTAAACTTTACAACGTTTATAATACATGCTATAAATCACAGTGATTCACAATCTCGATAACTTCGCTCTCGACGAGTGAAAAACACACACTTTATGGCTCACTAGCTCGAAACTAACAGAATCATAAATTACACGAAACTCGAAGTAACTACTGCTATTTCTCGAAGGCATCTCGAACACACTTGGACTTCCCCGATTAGTCGAGAAATTCATCAGCAGCGTCACGTGACTTCCGCTGTCGTAACACTGCCCCTTCCTTAGTATTGTTCATCCCAAACAATAGCCACTTACATTAAACCAACAGATAATTAACAATAACTTGATTAAATCAGCAACGTCACGTGACTTCCGAAGTCGTAACAATATATTTCGTGGAACGAGAGGATGTTGGAGATGAGATAGGCTTAGTTAAACTATCTTGCACTCGGCAGCATGAAATTTCGTTTCACTGACAAAGCCGTTGTGTCAGGCCTTGTTTCTAGGAGGCCTTATCGCCTTTAGTAATTTCTTAAATGAGTACGGAGAATCATCCAAAAGAAATGTCAAGTATGTGTGTGTATGAATGTAAAACAGATTTATAGCTTATTACATCCATTAAAATAAATCAGCAACTGGAAGCTACAATAAAGTTAACCGTTTTTGATTATTTATTAAAAAGAAATTTCACAATAAAATCTCGAATTTTCAAATCTGTAAATTCATGCAATTATTTATAAAAATGCGATATTTTATTTGCAAAAGTTTCGTAATCTGTAGAAAGTTTGTCACAACTTTCAAACTTTTTTGAGTAGCTTTGTGTTGGAATGCAATGAAACAAATAACACGACAGCTACGTCGAATCGACACACACACGAGTATTTTATAGACACCACGAGATCTATTTCTAAGTTGTTAGTAAAGTATCTCGTGATGAATGATAACTGTATATATGGTATACTGTTCTGGTTGGCTAAAGTAATTATTTTCTATTTCTTTATCTCTAAACTTATCAAATACGTGCCCCCCAGTGGTACAGCGGTATGTCTGTGGACTTACAACGCTAGAAACCGGGTTTCGATACCCGTGGTGGGCAGAGCACAGATAGCCCATTGTGTAGCTTTGTGCTTAATTACAAACAAACAATCAAATACGTAAACGAATAGTGATAACTTATATCATAGAAATTACCAAACATTTTAAAGCCAAGTTTCTCTTAAACACTATATGTTTATTTTAACGTTCTGTTCTTACATTAATGTTATTTAAGTTTTAAGAATTGTTTATTTTTGCGAGCATTCGTAGTTTATAGATTCGTTTAGGACTTGACGATTATACTTTTATTATATGTATGATGTTTTCAGTGGTATTTTACTCATCAGAGTGGACATATATTTGGATTTAAAGAATATGCAGCATTGATTTTACTTATTTACTCTTCTGAATTATTCGAGAACTAGCTGTTTAAAATATTAAAATAAATATGAAACCTAATATATATCATTATATTTATCACTTGTCATTGAAATATACCTGTTTCAGAGAATTTCACTATTCATAGTAACCCTGCACAAGGGCAAATCGAAAGAATAACACTAGGATTATTATAAAGGCGAATTAAATAATAGATTGGGCTTCATATTTAATTTTAGTATTTCAAACAGTTAACAGCCAGTTCACGAAAAAAGGCACCCATATTTGTCCAATCTTGAAAATATTATTAATTGCGCTTTATATATTTTTCTCAATCAAGAGATAAGGGTATTGTAATGTATACTTATTTCTTGAATGTAAGTCAACTTTTAGAATGAATAGCGTTTGCGCAGTTACCAAATTGCTTCACTGTTAACATGCATCTACGAGCACAAAAAATAACAAAATATGACTTTGGTCATACGTATTTCTCTCTCTCTCTATATATATATATATATATAAGCATATATTTTGGTGAAAAGTTTATTTTACCATGTCCACAACTGGCTGCAGACGGTGAATGGTAGTAAGAGTTTGTTCGTTGTGGGTTAAAACACCCAATTTCTAACCCATCACTGACCTTCTGTGACAGTTATCTCATTATTCATTTGTTTCTTTTGGACTATGTCTGGTAGACGAAATATCCTCAATGCTTTTTGGTGCTATGACAACAGACATTGTCCTTTAACATTTATACTCTTTGTACTTTGTTGAAAATTGTACGATTTATGATTTTTAATTTTTATTTAAATAGTCATTTATGAAATCCATAAAGTTGAAATTTGTTATGAGTAATGGTATGTTTTGGATTTACATTAAACATCTTGGTTTATATATATATATATATAGTAAGGACTACTACTTTTTAGATTTGTTCACAATATCTCCAATTGTGTAGAACAAATGCTTTTTTGGCACCGGATTATTTATTACTAATTTCAGCTTCAAGTGAATCCAAACTCTAGGTCGATCGATATTATGTGTAACGGGCTTGGTGAGGCCGAATGATTATTATGCCGGACTGTGGACCCGAGAATCCATGGCTCATGTTCCATAACTGCAAAAAATCGCACTTTATACTTTTGGGCCATGAGTGCGTTAAAAGAGTGACGGTCAAATCCATTATATGATTAGGGTAGCCTTAGAGTTGACGGTGAGTACTCATGACTAGCTGCCTTCCTTCTAGTCTGTCAGTTCAATATTAGGGTCGACTAGCGAAGTTAGCCCTGGTGAAGCTTGCGCGAAACAAACAAATTAGGAGAAGAAGAATTGTTATGACTTTGGAATATTGAAGATATAGTATTTTTACTGGTATATTCTTTACTTCCAGAAAGGCTGAAGATTAAAGATGTTGGAGCTTGAGTTCTTATATTCACGCAGATTAACGAACTGCGCAAAGGCTGTACGTGGTAACTGCACCTAGTTTTGACCTGTTATACTAGAGGGAGGGCAGTTAGTTAACAGTACACTCGTTAATTACTGGACTTTTTTAATTGAATAGTGGGATTTGACCGTCGATCATATAGTGCACCCACGGTCCAAAGTGCGGAGCACCTTTTTTGGCAACGGGACAGAAACCATGGACATATTCACAGTCAGAAACGATAAATATATTGAAATTAGAGATATTCATCCCAATCCTCCTTTAATATATATAATGATGAATGAATGGTGCAATGAAAACCTAACCAAGTTGGACTTGAAATAAGGCAAAGAGTTAACAAACCTCATTTGGATGCCTGGATTTCGGTGACGAAGCCTTTTTAAACTTAACATAATATTAAAAGACTATGAGAGTTCGGAGTAGATAAAGGTTTGTTTGTTTGTTAGGAATTTCGCGCAAAGCTACACGAGGGCTATCTGCGCTAGCCGTCCCTAATTTAGCAGTGTAAGACTATAGGGAAGGCAGCTACTCATCACCACCCACCGCCAACTCTTGGGCTACCCTTTTACCAACGAATAGTGGGATTGGCCGTCACATTATAACTCCCCCACTGCTGAAAGGGCGAGCATGTTTGGTGTGACGGGGATTCGAACTCGCGACCCGCAGATTACGAGCCGAGCCCCCTAATCACCTGGTCATACCGGGCCCATTGACTACGTAAACAAAACAGTTATGTTGAATTACAACAACAATGTCCTATTAACCAAACTTTGTGTAGAATCATGGACTTCACTGGTAGTTTTATGGTGAGATATTAAACATAAAATATTAATAGAGCTACATTAAGTGTTTGGTGATAAAGTGTTGACCGCAAACTACAATAAAAATAGCAATTTAAAATACTAAAAGTTTGAAATAACCTGCCACTTCACAATATTATGATCTTTGATTTTTACAGAGTTGCATGGTGTTTTTATTGATTTGTTTTGTTATAAAACACCTGTATCATACATGATTTATAAGAAAGCCTAAACACCATTCATTCTTCTAAGCTCGGTGATTCAGAAATGGGACTACAGTAAGGGTATAGACTTACAACATTAAAGTCCGGGATTCGATTCCAAACAGTGGCTATGCCTCATTAACTCATTCCGTAAGCTAGCGATAAAATAAACCAATCAGTCTTAGTGAAAATGTTCTCATAGAAAATCATGACTTTTTAATGACTAAATACATTCGGTGTAGTTTTAAAAGTTTATAAATATATTGTTGCATTTTATTCTAATAACCATTTCTTGTTGGTTTTTTTTTCAGCTAAAGAATATGACCAGAGAAGAAATGAAAAGTAAGGCTCATTTTTGCTTGTTCTCTCTTCCCATATAAAGATATTTCTAAAAAAAAAGCTGACAGTGAATGCAATTTTTCGTATTTTGTTGATATTATATCTAAAAATGTTTTGCTGAAGACGTTTGCATTTTGAGCACACGTCTCATAGGTTATTTTCTGGGTAAGGTTAGTCCTGGTTTACCTACCTTACGGGTCAAAATGCATTTTGAACAAACGACACGAGGAACTTCTAAGTTTTGTTTTGAATATGGCGACCTTTTCTCGAAATACTTGAAATAAAAGTTATAAAAAATACGATTTATAAAATTCATCCAGCTCACATAGAAACGGCTGTTGGTCAGGTAATTTGGTAATATAAAAAGCTTTCGAACCATTTCTGTGTCTGTCGTTTCCAGCTGGCCTGATGAGCCCTTATTATGAGCACTGGATATAGAAGTGGGTTGATATATTATAATACAATCTACTTTCACTACAACTAGTAGCTCACATAAAAATGATAAAATTGTAGCACTTTCTGACTCTCTTCGTCAAAAATTAAACGCTAAGATGTATTGGGTTTTCAGTGTGATTTATCGAACTTTTTATCGTACGTGTTTTTCTACTCTTAGAGATCAGGTAATAAAATAGAAATCTTGTCCAACAATCTGTAACACATATTTAGAGATCAGGTAATGAAATAGAAGTATTACCCAACAATTTGTAACACATATTTAGAGATCAGGTAATGAAATAGAAGTATTACCCAACAATTTGTAACACATATTTAGAG